ACATTATTAGTTCAGAAATAAAAGATTTGGGATTTGAAGTGGCCAACAATTTTAATATCACCCAACATTATAATGCTATTATTCAAATAGCTAGGACTATTAGTTGGGAGAGCAAATGTTATTTAATAAATGGTGTGATGATAGTTAACTATTTGGGGGGAAAAACAAAAGCTAAAAACAAAAAATGGGAAACTACCTTCCAACATAAATTCTTAACTAAGTGAGGATTAACATGCAAATATAAAACCTACAAATCAAGAACATACAAGTGATGTTTATGTAAGAATAAAAAAGGGCTTCCTATGTATAAACTAACAGAGGATGTCACAAAAGAAAAGATCAATGTTTGATTTCATAAAAATTAAAAACATTTGTATGTCAAAGAGCACTGAAAGAAGTTAAAAACAATTATCAGTTTCTTATCAAATAATTTTAGTTATTAAAATGATATTTTAAATTATGGCATAGTGACTATGAGCCCAAGTAAGAGCGGACCATTCATTCACTCAAACATATTTTGGGGGTGCCTACTACATACCAGACATTGTTGTATGTACTCGGGATACAGCAGAAAACCAAGGAGCACTTATGAAACATTGCACTGGGGGTTGACTGACTATGAACAAATATATCATGCTTCAGCAATGGTAAGTGCTTTGGCGTAACAAAGCAGCATACGGGGTTGAGAGAATGTCCGTGACAGGGACCTGTCTTTTCCTGTTTTCAAGGCTCTCATGCTGAAGAAGAAGGCATTCTGGTGAGGTGTCAAAACAGTTCTTCCTTGTCTTTGTCATCCAGGAAACACTGTGACTAGAGAGATGCTTGTATTCTACCTCCTCCACCACCCCAGCCTATCACAAAAAGGTCTTTGCCTGGTGTTGCAACTTGCTGATCAATGACTTCTTTCAAGATAACTCTGGTGGTGTTGCTAATACATTTAAGGTGACATGTGAGATTTGCAGACACTGCACATTCCCTAAAGTTCAGAGAAGTGCTGACATGCAATAAGAAGAAAACAAATTGCATAAGCTTCCTAGCTGAGGCAGGAGAGTTTTTGCTTGTATGTTCTTTTCTTTTTTGGTTTATTTGGGCTTTGGTATTTTGGTTTATACTGAGGTAAAGATGAGGGCATGTTCTGGATAATTCGTAAACCTCCATTTGCACACCCACCTCCATATGCCCATGGGGAAATGATTTTCTTCATCTGCAGAATGGTAGTGAGTGATTTGTTTATTGCAAAGGAAGAAACTAAAGCTGGAGGCCGAATGCCTTGAGAACTGGAGTGGAAAGGGTTTAAAGCCTACTCATTGGGAATGAAACCTATGTTGACCTGGCAGCTGGGCTGAGGACACAGAACATGGCTTTCACCAAAAACATCGTATTGGTGTCAACTGATAGGCTTTCAACTATATTGACAAGATGTCTTTTACCAATGCTGTTAGCATTTTTGTTTTGCTTGATTGGATCAAAGCGATAGGATTTGGAGGATAAAGATGTTGGAAAGTGAACCATCCCTAGTCTTTCATGGGGCATTGCCCTATGTAGGCAGTAATATTATCAGTGTGTCAACTCTGGAAATGTAACAGAGCTGAAATTCTTATGGCATATGATGGATTCACTGACAACTTGTAATTATGGAGATACATTGTTCTTCTGCTTCCCCAGGTAGATGTTAGATAGTTGAGGATGTGTGAATTTTCTAGGACTTCAGTATTTAGTCAATCATGTACTAAAGCATGAATCAACAATAAAATTGTATACATTTCAAGGTACCTTTATTATACAAAGGAAAAATTTGGGTGTAAGAAAGCTTAGGTTTCTTGAAACTTAATGCTTTATACTTTTGAATCTACCACACTGACTAGAGAAAGCTAAGGTGAAAAAAATCGGTAAAAGATTTCATAGGAAAACTGAGTCTGAGTCTCAGGTTTTAATTTAGATATACTCATCATCATTTGGTTTAAATTTAAATAAAGCAAGGAATATGAAAAGATATGGGCCAAATCCAATGGATGAGGAGAACTAGGTGATATAGCATTTATAAGTATTATAGGCCTTATCACCTATTTGTCCACCTATTGTGTCAGGAAAGTGTGTGTGTGTGCCTTATTGTGTGTATTATCTATAAAATGTGTGCATGTGGTTGGCAGGTAGATGATTCATTTAAGAAATTATGTCCTTGATTTTTATTGTGCACTTATTATGTGCCAGACACTTTTTAGGGGATCAGAAATATGGCAATAACCAAAGTGTCTGCTTTCCATTTGAATAAACTCAATATATGATAAATACATAAGGAATTATATGATACGACCCCTGAGTGAAGCAGTATTAGGGGAGAAGGAGTGATTGGAGGTAATGTTTTAATAAGGAGACAGGTAAGGAGGTGTTATTTGAGCAGAAACCCGAATGATGTAAGAGAGAGAGCCGTGCAGACATGAGGGGTGTTTTGTGAGCAGTGTTCCAAAGGAGGCCACCATGAATGAACAGTTTGCTCTGTGAGAGTCCGTCTGTTTCTACCCCTGTGACCTTTGACACACTAATTAAACTCTTTGAGATTTTGCTTTCTCAATTGTAGAGAGAACATACCAATAGTAGGCCCTCCTATCTGCTGGGTTGGGGCTGAGTGTAGCAGTGTTTGAAGGTTGGCTGGCCAGGCCCAAAGGCAGCAAATGATACAGACACGGTTTCAGAATAAGAGAGAACGTCTTTAAAGTTCACTTAGAGCTAGTGACAGGTATCAGCGCTAACTGTAAGTCATGACTGTTCCCAAACTAATTAATGGAAGATATCATGGAATAGTCTTCCTTCAACCCTCTAATTCCTAATTAATGTCGAGTTGCTCCAGATCTTCCCATTGTGATTTCCATCATGAGCCCTGGCTTTCTTTGCATTCTGTAGGTAAGCTATGGGTCTGCCCACCAGGTTAATGAGTCAAATAGAGCCAATGCTGCTGAATTCTTCAGATGTCTCACAGCTTACCCACACATATCATCCCACTTGCTGGTCTTCCTTAAGACCCTGAAATTAAGGTTTGAAAGAAACTTCCTGGTTCCTTTTGTGGATCTATTCCCCTGCTCTGTAGCCCTTGCCTTGATTTGGTCCTCAAACGTTGAAGCAGAAGTGTCCTCTGAGGAGATCAATAACATGGAGGACTCCTGGGCCCACCTTAAACAGCTCTAGGCCGAGAGACACTGTCAACATCATCTTTGAAATGAAGGGACAGGATTTCTCTAGGACCCTGTTGATCTCTGACTGTATAGAAACCCATGCTTTCTAAAATGTCCTTTTATGGTGAACTCAGGGCTGACTTTACCGATGATCTGGTTCACCCTCCTCTGCAGCTGACTTTACTACCTCCACCTGATCCAGTCATTTGCACTTCCTCATCACTTTAGTACAGTCCAATCTCCTATTTGCCTCCCTTTCCTCTTTATGGAGTCTGTGGGAGTGAATTACAGATGATCAGACTGTATACTCCATAGCCTTTTAAGAACACTTTTTGTAATTTTACCTCCCTATACTTAGTGTCAGTGTGAAATGAGAAGAAAACTAGAATTCTCTCCTGCTTTCTGGGCCTAGGGATGGCAGGGTGGGGACATGATTCGTACAGATCACAATGATGCTTATGTACCTCACCTTCTTCTCCCTGTGGTGCTGGCTGCTTATAACTATATCTTATGCTTTTCTATCTCTTAAATTGAGATGAGTTACTGACTTATATTCTCCTTCGTAGGTGTAGAAAATGAAAAAGATCTAGCTTTTCCTTATCTCAAAGAGTTATTGGCTATTGGGTTGAGTATACGGTTTGTGACTGTTGAGCTGTGCATTAAGGACATGTTCCTGGAAAATCTACTGGTTCTTCTGGCAACACATTTTTCCATTTTTCTCTCTCAGAAATACTCCAGGGCACTATTTGCTGTGTAGGTGTAGTTATTGGTATTATAAACATGCCTTCACTTCCTAATGATCTTCTCCCATCTGCTTCTAACACCTCATGAGAAGACCTTCTAGGCAGTTATTTTATAGGAACTCAGAGTTCGCATTTGGTTGGAATCAGTGTGGGAAGAAGGACTGTGTGGCAAGAAGCACACACGTGTTGTATGTGTTACTTGAGGGGATCACCTTCTCTATTCTCATTTCATTATATTTATCGCCATTATGTTTGCTTAGCTGCACAAGGCACTTAGACATAGCCTCAGCCTCTTGCATGAGCCAAATGCTGCTTGCTATGACTCTAAGTCTCTTATTCTGAAAGACACACACTTTCTACGGGACCATAAATAGGAAAGTCCAGAGTTCTGAGAGGGAGTCTGAAGCCAGAGGGGGAGGAAGTGTCTCGCCCTCTGGGTTCCTCACTGTCTTGTCCCTGCTCCTCCCTCAAAGGTTCTGGGCTGTCATCGGCAGTCAACTGGCCTTTCATTTGTGCATAGGCTTTTTCAGCACTGATGCAGCAAGCACAGAGAGAAAGGCAACAATTCAGTAATATCAAAACAGGTAGGGTGTGGGAGGATGGAGCTAAGCATTTAGAAAGAAGAATGTTCCTATAAAAAAGAGACACTTGGCAGTACAGCCAATGAAAAATGATACCAATTACATAAAGCAAAATGCCACCCATCCTTCAGAACATTTTAATTCTCTCTATTTCAGGCTGTTTATGACTTTTTGTCCAAGACTCAATACATATCTGTAAAAATAAAAAAATGGAATCTATGCCATCTTTTTGGTGGAAGAGGGCTGGTGCTGGGAAGAAAGGGTAAGGAAACATTACAAGCGTGTCATGGGAGAGTGCCAGAGGCTGGGCACAGAGGTGCTCCAGGTGTAACTTTGCTCTCCCATATTTTTCCTCTTTGATTTAGTTGTATGAGAAAGAGAAGGTGGCAAATTTTATTAAGACATTTAAAATTATATTTAAATTAATTTTAGTTTAAGGAGTTTCTGTTTCAATCGATCTCCCATACCATCCTGCTTTAAAACCAAATAATGACACTGTTTTCCAGGGCCACGTTTCCTTTCATTTTTGCCAGAGGTGGTCGAGGGCTCGCAGCTGGTTTCCTGGAAGAGCGCCACAAGATGGCGACAACGTCACAGTGGAGAGGGGACAGTGGCTGCTGCTAGACACCAGCACAAGCATCCTCAACTTCGTGCATGTTAAAGGTCTGTGCAGATTGGAGACCGGTAATGACATCAGTATATATAATCCTATCACTTTTAGAGGGAAGGAGGGAGGCGAATTTTTTGGATAAGTTTCAGTACTTACTGACAATTTATTCTTGGACCAAAATGAGATTTTACTATGAAAGGAAGAAGTGGTCATAGGGTTCTAAATGAAAACCCTTTCTATTGACTCTTATAAGCACAGAGTTTGATTAGTTTAATTTTTATATACAAGGAAGTAACTAGTGTTCTCAAAGAATATGCTTTTTTATTCCAGCACTTTGTAGTCATGCTTGTCCAGGGCAGCCCCCACAATATAACAAAATGCTCTGAAATCAGTTAATGCTGCTGCCTTTGAAATTCCCTGCCAAGAAAGCAATGTTTTCTTGCTTTTACCCTGTTGTGGTTTTGACTTCCTGGTCCCATGGAAAGTCATATAAATAGGCTTCCTTATTGCAAAACCGACCTCATAGCTCTAGGGTCTGGGAAGTTGGAAAAGACTAAGAATTCAAATTTCAATTCCTTCACCACATCATCAAGTGACTAACCAGCTATTTCACCTCTTTGTTTCCTTATCTGTTAAGTGGGAATAAAAATTATTGCCTATTTCATGGCTGATAGTAACAAATGGTTATCAAAGTGACTCTGTTCACTGGCAAATAAAAATTGTTTGGTCATGGGGAGTGTTGACTTATTGACAGCCATCAGCTGTCTACAGGCTAGCAATGACAAAGAAAAATTATAAATTTAAAGTCTCAGCTCAGAGAAAAGGTACTGTTTGGAGACCTTAAATGGAGACTTTTCCCAAAGGACTCAAATCTGCTGATGCATGGGATGCCCTTCAGGCACTCAAGAGTTTTTGCCTTATATTAATACCATTTTGGTGATGTTTTTCCACTAAAAGTCCTCAGACTCAGCCTGACTCGCTCTCTGGGTAGCCTATTAGTTTCAGGAAAATGGTCAGTCAAGGAATGGTGTGGATAGAGCCAAGGACTAAAGATGGAGAAGAGATGCCAGAGGGATAGTAAAGGGTAAGAGAAAGGCAAGGCCCTGCGGAATATACACTTGGCCTCTCACTTTCGCAGATTTCAAGAGCTGAGCAACCCAAATACTTGCCTCAATCTGTTACCTTTCAATAGTGATTTTCTTTAATATTCCTGGTTCAGGCAATATTTCACTCCTATACTATTTAGAATAAGTGAGTCCAGTTTGGAAGGGCTGAACCTCAGCCTGTGGAGAGGGAAGGTCTGCTATCTGAAGGATCCTCTGTTTCTCTTAGGAAGTAGGGCCATTGGTAGGAATGTGAAAGCAGTGGACACCTGTTTCTCTATAAATAGGATACAGGAGTTATTGGCAGGGAGCAGGGTTGCCTAGAATAAAACTCTGAGATTTTTATCATAGAGATATGGGTCATAGCTTCTAGAAAGAATGAGAACAGGGAAAGGACACAGATCAAATTTAATTCAACAGATGACTTGTGAATGCTTGTTAAGTGGCCTGCAAAATCTGTCTGAGATACAAGAAAAAGTGAAGAATAATATTAATGTCAGCAGTGCGTATTATCACTAAACATCCAACAGTGAATCTTGTTGACTGGATTTTCAATATGTATACCATAGATTAATACCTCAGTTGGTACCAATTTATTCCTAATCAACGTGATTTTTGCCCCAGACCATTTCAAATGCCTCTTAATTGATTTTCATGCTTCTAATTCTCTGTCTTCCTTCATAGCAGAGTCTCAATTTTTATTTGGTGCAGCACTGTACCCAGATCAATTGCTATATATTCCTGGCCCCCTTTATGGTTAAGAGCTGGCCAATGAGATACAAGGGGAAGTGTGGGGCAGGACATCTGGGAAATTTTCTGAAGTAGAACTGACCCAATAGGAAGCATGTTCTATTTCCTTCTTCCTCTTTGTTGTCTCCTGGAATGTGACTGTGATAGCTACATTTTCAGCTGCCATCTTTGACCACAGGGTAATGTGTTAAGTGTGGGGAAGTCAAAGAAACCCAGGTCCTGATGACTTTGGAGTTGCCATAGTGTCATGGCAACTGGGACTGCTCACTTCTAAAGTTGCCTTTTGTGATAGAAAAACAAGCTTTCATGTGTTTAAGTCATTAAACACATGAAATTTTATTTATATACTAAGGTATCCCTCAAGAGTGTATTTTCCATGTCCCTTAAGAATATGTCACATTTTGTTACTCCTTTCCTGAACTGTCCCCCTTGCCCTCATGTCTTCTCATTTCACTAGAAATAAAATCTAAAGTCCTGACCATTATCAAACCTCTGATCCCTTCATTAAATTTGTCTTCCTCACTCAATCTGCTCTGGCTCTTCTATGAATTTACCAGGAACACACCTGCCTCAGGGCCTTTGCTCATAGTGTCCTATGTCTGAAATACTCTTCCTACAAATAGGCACATGGCTGGCTTTCTTATTTCATTCACTTTGTGAGAAAATGTCAGTTTACTAGAGAGATCTTGCTTGGCCATTCTTTTAAAAGTTAGAACCACTTCCTATTATTCTCTGTTCTTTTATTTTGTTTTACTTTTCTTCAGAGAACTTATCACCATATAACATAATATAAATTTACTTGTTTGTTTACAGTCTGTTTCTTCTGCTAGAACAAGCTAAAGAAGGCAAAGGACTTCACCAATTTATTCACTACTCTCTTTTCAGTGTCTAGGATAGTGCCTGATACATAAAGAGGACTCAAAGAATATGTGTTAATGGTTGAATAAATGAACAAATAAAATGGTACAGGGCTCAGGTCTTAGATGAAATTTAAAAAGTATAATTTTTAAACTCTTAAATATCACTTTTCTTAACTAACTTATTTCCACTGTTTTTAGTTGTTCTCACTGATTATGTATATATATACACACATATTTATACATATATATGTACATGCACACAAATATACATACATATATCTGTGTATAAATGTATGTCATTATGAGTTGTTAGGAATATAACATTCATTGGTAAGTTATTTTCTGTTTCTAAAAAGCATCTGAAACTGGTGAGGGATGCCAACTCCCAAATATCTGGTTGATGTAGCATAGCCCTAAACCTCTAATGTCTTCTCTTGATCTATCATATGTGTGAAAGTACCTGAAGGATAAGAAAAAGCTATTCAAATATTGTATAAGATTAAATCATTTTCCTCCTCATCATCAACAGCAAGTCACTCTATCAACATCTGTTACTATCTATATTTTTTATATCTATTCATGGTAAAAAAATAGCAAAGTGGATTTTTGTTTATTTTTTCTGATTCCCTATATAGGCTGAAATAAAGCATGAAAAATTTCAAGCCAAAAAACAATTTCTTTAAAAGATTATAGCAAACAAAATATGAAGTATTATAGTGGAAGTCCTTTCAGCCATTTTCACAATATCACAAAAAATATTTTGTAAATGAAGTACACACTTTGAAAAGATTAGTGCTGAATAGAAATAAAACTAGATCACCTAAGAACTACCTTTAGAACTACTTCCTGAAAACATTGCATCCTCTCTATTGCTTTTCCATTCAGGGAAGCCAGCATCCTAATGAACAGAGGCCCAGGCTCCTGCATCAGGAAAACCAGCACTTGTGTACATGGCCCTCAGAACCTTGAATATTCTGTACTGAACTTCTATTTTCATCTGTAAAATAGAATTGACATTTTTTCTTACAGGTACAATTTGTATAATAGAAAGAAGGATTATACATTTCTTTGAGGCAATTGGGAATGGCACCAGGGACAAAATTTTCTCCATTATTTATGATGCTGCACACACTGATTCCTGAACCTAATTGAGAAATGGTGGATTACTTTGTGACCACAATAAAAGCTTCAACTTTATTTATTATTTTTCTCTAATTAACAATATATCAAGACTTTTTATTTACTTACCATCTCTACTTCTTTCTTCCATTTCTCTCTCCCTTTTTTTTAAAGTTATTTTTTAGAGGGTACTGTTAAACACAAAAGAGAATTAACCCAATCAATTAATACTAATGAGCTAGGATGGAAATAGGCATATTGCCTTGATTTAGTTAATTATATTTTTCGTTCTTTTATGTTAAGATGCCAATGGCCATAGGCATTGCTAAATTAAAATTTATTATTTTATTCCAAGTAATTATGATGAGCCATAATAACAAAGAAGGAATGTTATCCTCATGTTAGAGACATTATGCATCCGGGGCTTGTGGCTGCAGTTGGGGAAGCATTCGTATTTCCTGAATGAAGCAATGAATCTCTCTCTATTCTGGTGGTCAAGCAACTTGACATGAATTGGACTAGAGATAATGATGAAGAAAGGGCCAATTAGGGGAGTATGAACTCTGGAAACCCCTTTTCCCTTGGTGTTGGGCTTTCAAAAGGAAGACATTCTGTAGTTTCTTACTACTTGCAATGCCATCACTTGAGAATGCTTAACGGAAACTTGCTTCCAGTCTCTATTGCTGCTTAATAGTGCACCAGTTTCCTTTAATGTGATTTTCTATTTCTTGGTCTACTGGTGTATACCAAAGCAGTTAAATGCTTGGCAGGCTTTTGAGTCAGAGAGAACTGAGACTGAATCTGGGCTCTGTTTCCTACCATTGCTGTGACCTCTCGCAGGTTGCGCAAACTCTGTATGCCTCCAATTTCTCCTCGTTAGGGTCATGCCTCTAATGACAGCAGCCCTAACCAAGATGGCTAACATTTATTGTTTGCTCTCGTGTGGCAAGACTACACTGTATTGTCTGACTCATGGATTATTTGAGTATTAAATACAGGTATATTAATAAAGCTCTTAGCTTAGGACCTGGTCCAGAGTAAGCACTCAGTTTATGTTAGTTTTATTTTTTTTTTAATTTTTTGACTGATAGGGATATCAGAAGAAATGGCTGAATATCAGGCCTAAGTTGCAATTTTATTTACAGATAGTGGCTTCTTCTATATACAAAGCTAACTGGATTACTGCAAGAATTAGCTGGGTAATGAAGACCTGGAATTGCT